CTGAGGGGTGTGGCCTGGGCAAGTCTGACTTTCAGCAGGCCTGAGGGGTGTGGCCTGGGCAAGTCTGACTTTCAGCAGGCCTGAGGGGTGTGGCCAAGGTTTTTTCTTGGGAGTTGCTTACAGCTTGCATATTTTAAAAATTCGCTGCCATCAAGTCAGTGCTGACTCATTGCGACCCTATAGGGCAGGGTCTGTGGGTCTCCGAGACTGTAACTTTTTAAGGGCCTGGAAAGCCCCATCTTTCTCCCGAGGAGCTGACTGGTAGTTTGAACTGCTGACCTTGCAGATCACTGTCCAAAGGGTAACCACTGTGCCACCAGGGCTCCTTTAGAGCTACCATCCATTCCAGCGAAGAAGCCCCGGTGTCAACATGGTCAAGCACTCAGCCGTTTGAACCGACCCACTAACCCTTGTGTCGGTGTTTCCATAAGAGTACAGCTTTGGAAACACTGGGGCAGCTCCCTCTCTGTGAGTCGGAATCGGCCATGGATTTCGTTTGGTTTGCTTTGGTTGGTAGCGCCCTGGTGTTAAACATCCAGCTGCTAACCCCAGTGCTGGCACTTCGCAACAGCCCTGTGGCTCCACGCGAGAAAGACGTGGCGACCTGTTCCCTGAGAGATTTTGGCCCAGGGAATGCCATGGGGCTGTCCTGCTCTGTCCCGTGGGACCTCTGAGTCAGCATCGATTCAACTGCACCGAACAAGAGCCGCTTCAGCTCCGAGTAGACGGTGTCCGGCCCGTGCCGGTCACCACCAGGCCTTGCTGTCTGCAGCTTTTAAAAGCGCCCCGGTGTTTCTGATGGGCGCCCAGGGTTGAAAACCGCGCCTTCGTGTGGGGATGAAAAGCCCTTAGCTCCCTGCTCTGAATGCGTCCTGTAACGAGTGATTCAGCTCCTCTGTTTTACCATTTTAGATGACGAACAAAGCAAATTGGAAGGTCCCGGATCCGGCTTAGACAGTTACCTGCCTGAACTTGCCAAGGTAACGCCACCTTCCACGGTCTGCTCTTCATTGATTGATCTTGCGCTGTTCCTGTTTCATGGATCTGTGCAGAATGGACTCTGGGAATTATTCTCAGTCACAGTGAGGCTTGGCACAGCCAGGACTCGACAAGACCGCCTGGTATTCCGTCTAGATCCCACACGTTTCCTCCCCCGGGCGGCACACTCCTCACACTTCACTGTCCCTCCTGTGACTGGAAGATAGTGCATTCTTCTTCTCCAACCCACACGGGTCCTGGCTTCTGCAGGTTTTACTATATTCTGTAGTAAATCATCAATAACCATGCTTATCATTTATTTTCTTTCCTGACCTGATTATGAGGTGACCCTGAGATCCCTCAAAGTTCAGGGTGTATTCCAGGAAATACATGCAGTATTGTCTTTTTATGAATTCTTTAAGTGGCTACCGCCCCCTCTGAAATTTTGAAACTCTGTCATAACATTTAAAGAAAGAGCCAAAATACAGAGATAAAGTGTGACCATAGGAACATGGTTGTTACCCTGTTGACGTATATGTTCCTGCTCATTCACATGAACAGGTAAGATCCCCAAGAGGATGGATTGTGATAATGTTGTCATTAAGCCAAAGAGGGACTGCCTGTCTCATATGAAATGTGACTGACAGAGGCTTCTCTGACAATCTTGCTTTCTGGGTTAGTTTCAATGAAAAAAAACGTTACACCTATTTTTTAGAATTTTGAGAAATGTGTTACTGAAAAGCACAAAGAAAAACAACTACCCATATTCTACATCTGTTGTTGTATTGACTTCCTTCCCTTTTTTCCTTAAAAAAGATTGTACTTGAACTTCTTTCTTTTAATTTATTTAATTTTAAAAATCATTTTATTGGGGGCTCGTACAACTCTTATCACAATCCATACATCCATCCATTGCGTCAAGCAAATTTGTACATTTGTTGCCATCATCATTCTCAAAACATTTGCTTTCTACTTGAACCCTTGGTATCAGCTCCTCATTTATCCCCTTCCTCCCCGCCCCCCTTCCCTCAGGAACCCTTATTATTATTTTGTCATGTCTTATACCGTCTGACATCTTCCTTCACCTGCTTTTCTGTTGTCCGTCCCCCAGGGAGGGGGTTATCTGTAGATCTTAGTGATTATTTGCTCCCTTTTCACCCCACCTTCCCTGTATCACTACTCTCATTATTGGTCCCGAGAGGTTCATCTGTCCTGGATTCCCTGTGTTTCCAGTTCTTATCTGTCCCAATGCACATTCTCTGGTCTAGCCGGATTCGTAAGGTAGAATTGAGATCATGATAGTGGGGGTGGGGAGGTGGAGAAAGCACTAAAAAACAAGGGGACTGGAGCCAGTTAAATGGATTTCAGCAACTAAACTGAATGCATCTAGCTTGGCTGTAAACCACAAGATGAAAATGACTCTGTCTCTGAGTTATATAGGCCTGTTTTAAAACTTCACCTCAGAGTGGGGACCCAAAGGCCATCTGTGAGCAGCTGGACACCCCTTTCGGAAGGGCCGCCGGGAGGAAACGAGCCAGTCAGGGTGCAGGACAGCAACGATGAACCATCAAACTTTCCTCTAGTTCTTTCCTCACTACTTGGGGAAACTTAACTTTTTCACTTCTTAATGGGAGCACAAAATTTATGTGCTTCCACAAACAAAAACAAAGCAAGAAGAATGTTCTCGCAGAAGCTATGAAGCCTAAAATATCCAGAAACAAACAAAGCACATCTCAACGCAAAAAGTAATCCACCCAAGTTCATACCACTGACTGCATAAACACGCAGACCAAAACTCTTCCCAGCCAATGGAGAGGTTGCGATGGTGGTGCCAAAATTAGCTTTAATAGGCAGGTGCTAAAAAGACTCTGAGGAAGCAGCGAGATCCTAACAAGAAACAATGCTCTGAATTCCCAGCCTGAGAGGGAGATTTATATTTAAAACAGCCAACTTGTCACAAGACAGAGGTCTATGTTGAATGTTGGTCTATTTATAATTGTCTATAGATAAACTATGTTTCTATTACAGTGTTTAAGGCGTGGGTGTTTAGGGTCATTATTTCACTGCGGTCTCAAAAAAAAAAGAATAGCAAGGCAATAATGGAGTAAGAATATAAAGGGCTAGAGAGAAGACAAAGACTTTTTTCACTGAAGAAGGACTCGTTCGTGCCTGCGAGACACAGGCGACAGGAGCATCCTGGGAGCAGTGCTTGTCGTGGAAGCCATAGAATGGCTGCAATGAAATGTGCATGGAACGCAACCACAGGATGAGCTAGATCCGTATGTGAACTCCGATGAGTCTCAAAAGGGTCAACCAGCAAAACAAGCAAATACAGAATCATGCATTATGTTCGCATTGTATATAGCACTTCTCAAACATACAAAACACCACGATATATATATAGATTGTTGGTCAATATATATATTGTTAGATATATTAGTAAAGATCGGTAAGTAAAATGGAAGTAATTCCAGAAAACTTTAAAAAAAAATCAATTTATTGGGGGCTCATACAACTCATCACAATCCATACCTACATCAATTGTATAAAGCACATTTGTACATTTGTTACCCCCATCATTCTCACAACATTTTCTCTCCATGTAAGCCCCTGGCATCAGCTCCTCATTTCAGAAAACTTTTAAAGTGGTTATCTCTGGGTGGATTTGCAAAAGAAGAAAAGAATGGAATTTGGGAAGATGCTTTAAAAAGAAGCTGAAGTCACTTTATTCTATTAAACTGGCATTCCGTGATGCTTACCTTCCCGACAAGATCTCTGAAGACAGATGGGTGCATAAGCAAATGTGAAGAAAGCTATAGTGACGGCTATCAAAAGATACAGCATCTGAGGTCTTAAAGGCTTGAAGATAAACAAGCAGCCATCTAGCTCAGAAGCAACAAAGCCCACATGGAAGAAACACACCAGCCAGTGTGATCATGAGAAGTCGATGGGATCAGGTACCAGGCATCAAAGAACAAAAAATCATATCATTGTGAATGAGGGGGCAGTGCCCAGTGGAGATCCAAAGCCCATCTGTAGGCAACTGGACGTCCCCTTACAGAAGGGTCGCAGGGAGGAGATGAGCCAGCCAGGGTGCAATGTAGCAATGATGAAACATGCAACTTGCTCTAGTTCTTGATGCTTTCTCCCCCCCACTACCAGGATCCCAATTCCACCGTACTTGGATAGCATGCGTGGCAAAGTGGATGGTCAGTGAAAAGGGGAAAGCCCTCGGTGCGATGGACTGACACGAGGGCTGCAACGGGGCTCAAGTATAGCAATTGTGAGGGTGGAACATGACGGGCCAGTGTGTAGTTCTGTTGTTCACAGAATTGCTGAGTTGGAATCTACTCAATGGCGCCGCTATAAAATAAAAACACAATGGAATGCCTTTGCGTAGTCAATAAAACATAGGTAAACATCTTTCTGGTATTCTCTGCTTTCAGCCAAGATCCATCTATCATCAGCAATGACATCGCTTGTTCTAGACTCTCGTCCGAATCTGGCACGAGTTTCTTGTAATTCTCTGTTGATGTACTTCCTCGATTATTTTTTTCCATCTTCAGCAACATTTTAACGTGTGTGATATGAATGACATTGTTTCATAATTTCCACATTCAGTTTGGCTGCCTCTCTTTGGAATGCGGAAATGCGGGTCCCTTCAGTCAGCTGGCCAGGTAGCTGTCTTCCAAAGTCCTTGACAGAGATGAGTGGGCACTTCCAGCATTGCTTTCATTTTCTGAAACATCACAGTTGACATTCTGTCAATTTCTGGAATATTGTTTTCACCAGTGCCTTTAATGAAGTTCAGATTTCTTCTTTCAGCGCTGTTGGTTCCTGGTCCTCTGCTTCGTCCTCACATGGTTGGCTGTCAAACAGTTCTTTTTGGTACATTGACTCTGTTTTCGCTCGTCTTCTTTTGATGCCCCCCACATCTTTCAGTGTCTTGCCCATAGAGCCCTGCAAGATTTTAACTCCAGACTTGCGTTTCCTTAGATCTTTCAGCTAATGCGATGCGGAGTGCATTCTTCCCTCTGTTTTCTAGCCCCAGTTTTTACACATTCCATTATAACACTTTGTTTTTTCTTCTAGAGCTGCTGTTCAGCTCTTGCACTTCATCATTTCTTCCTTTCACTTCAGCCTCTCTACATTCAAGAGCAAGTTTCTGTCTCTTCTGACATCTATTTTGGTCTCTATGTTAGTCTGGGTTGTCTAGAGAACAAACTAGGTGACACTCGTGTAAGAGAGAGCTGTATATCAAGAAGTAGTTATATATCAGGAAAACACCCCAGCCCAATCCAGATCAAGTCCATAAGTCCTATAAGAGTCTTTAAGCCTGTTACAAGTCCATACATCCCTCTTCAGACTCATGTAGCTACATGCAATGTAATGATGCAGAATGCAGGAAGGTCACCGGCTGGGAAGTGCAAAGTCTTCTGGATCCAATGGTGGTGGATGCATCTCTAGGGCTGACACAGGGTCTTTAACAGGAAGGTGAAGGCAAAGAGAGACACACACACAGAGAGAGAGAGAGAACCCTGCCTCCAAAGAGCCATTTTTCTCAGTGGCACCTGCAAATGAGGTCATCAAGCTGCAAAGTGATTGACAAGCTAAACTCTACCCATATCTTCTTACGGGTAACTCGTTGGCACAAAACGCCTAACTATCATGGTCCTTTCTCTCCTGTGTTTTTAATGACCTTTTGGTTTTATTATGAATGATGTTATCCCACAGCTTGTCTGGGTCAGTCGTTAGTGTTCAATGTCCAAACCTAAGGTCAGGTGGAATATTCTTCAGGTCACACGTTGACTCGTTTTCTTCAGCTTCAACTTGGACTTGCATATGATCAATTGGTAGTCTGTTCTGCAGTTGGGCCCTGGCCTTGTTCTGACTGATGTGACTGGGCTTCTCTTTCTCTTTATCGTATTTCTCCACACGTAAGTTGAGTTAATTCCTGTGTAGTCCACCTGGCAAGGTCCATGTGTGTAGTCACCATTTATGT